TCCTCAGTTTTTCTGCCTGCTCTTAGCACTTCGTGTGTAACAAGACTGCTGGCCCAGTCAGGAATTTCCATCTTTCATGAAATAGGAGAACAGAATAGACCCAACATCTTCTCTGTCTTCTAAGACTTGGACAGAGCTGACATCATCTCTGTCTTCCAAGACGTTTTAAAAATGCTGAGAATTAGTGACATCACCATGTGATAATATCAACACCTTCGCATAGCAGCACTTCATCAGTAGTATACTATTCTCTGACACTCCATGTATCACAGCTACCTTAGATTTTCTTATCCTTTCTGTAAACAAATTAAATTTTCTCCTTTATTTGTAGATAGATAAAATGATTGTTCCAGAATGAGTTCTCAAACAGGAAAAACAGTGTGATGGAGATTATGTGGGTAAATGGGATTTAAAAGAATATATGAAGATGAAGAAATGAGTCTGGGATTGGAGTGGTTTCTATATGGATGAATATGACCGAGTCCACTATCTGGAGGAATAAGTCAGATAAGCAATGGTGAATTTGAATGCAGAAAACACATTTATAGCATCCAAAATGTCAATTGATCTTAGATTTATTTTGACCTGTACACAATTTCTTATGTCATATTCAGAAAGAAGAATATAATCAGTGTAAAAGAAGCCAAGTTAGTTCCAGTTATATAATATGCAAACTGAGGTAACAGGTGAAAAACAAGTTAGAAAACCCCAAAACAGCTATAATCAGTACAAACATAAAATAAGAACCACTAGTTTGAAATGTTCACAAAACGACTTTGGCAGTTTAAGGCAGGCAGAGAGAGCAAAGGAGAACCAAGCAGAACAAAGAAACAGCCACAGGATTCCAGTCTCCTGAAATGGCTCTGCATCTTTTAGACTGATTCCTTACTTCAATTCCTCTTACAAAATGAAAGTTCCTTCTAGGGGGAGAAAAGAAAGAAAAAATAAATAGTTGAGCATAACTCTGAAGCTCATTATGTTTCTACAGGTGTACAATGATTGAAAATAACAATTTAAACAGTTGCTTATTTTAACTCAGGGAAAGACCATAGGCCAATAATGACCATTGATAATGCTGAAATTTACATAAATACTTTGAACCTGTTTGTGTGGGTGATAATGGGATTGGCCTTGGTATTTGTTATAATCTAAAATAACTGATGCACAAAGAGTACCATTTTAATGGCAAGAGATTTCCCTAGGCTCACCATTTGAAAATGTCAATTCTTAAGTAAGAATGTCAGCGGTATGTAGTTATCAGTGATGAATTTGGCTTTTTAGGAGCTATTTCAATTGCCATTCAATTAGGTGATCTATGCTAAAGAAACTATTGCCGTGCTTTGTCGTTTTGTCAGACCAGCTGAAGGTGGTGGCACTTTTAACAGATGTGGACTTGCATATAGAGCAATTTATTCAACTTCAAAACTGCAACACAATGCATAAAATATTAGCTTAAACATCCCAAAATAAATCTTGACACTATATCCTGAAACAGAATTTAATGTTCTCATGCTAGGTGAAGCTTACTGTTCATAAACACTAACAGGAGGAATTATGTTTGTCTTTCTGAAGGCAAAAACTACTGCAAAAGCATCTTATTCTCTTCTGAGAAGGAATTTAGCTAACAAAACCTTGCAGGAAACTTTTCCTTGATTTTTTTAAGCATTTATTGTTACACTCATTGAAGAAACTCAAGTCTACATTTGGAGACTTATTAAATAAATTATGATGGCTGGAAAAATTTGCTTCCCTACAGACAAGAACTTATGACCTGACTGTCACACACACACATGTGTAGCATTCGATAATTAAATCAGGGCATATTTATTTGTACACAATTCTTCAGTTTATTATCCTGTGTTTTTAAAGAATTTTTTCAATCATGTAATACCAAGATGAGTGGCATGTTAATTGATAAATAATTAAGTTATAATAATCTGTGTCCTGTTTTTACAGAATGGTTGCTTAATATCTTTCCTTTGTAGTCCCTTTTGCAAGTCAGTCATCAAATATTCACAAAGAAATAGCATAGATTAAAAAAAAAAAAAAAAGAGAGAAATTAGCACAAAGTTAATTTGTGTTGAACGATGAGAACAAATTGAATTACAGCATGTGTAAATGTTAGATCTTATTACTCAGTTTCTTCTATGACCCTCTCTTTCTATGTTGCTTTTAATTTCTTTGCAGCTTTTAATTAAGCAATGTTAACAATAATTGCATTTGGTGGTTATACTTCAAACTCCTATAATTACATTTTCTAAACTTATTTTTTTCTTACTGATCCCCTAATAAGCTATATACACTGTATTTTTATATATGTGTTCCAAAGGTTGGATGTCATTGTTCTGCAAGACGTCCCACATACCTTTTTTTAATATTTAGATGTAAAATGATGAAACTAATGAGAATAAATGGCTAACTTATTTAATAAATGCCTTATAATGGACTAAAAACTTAATTGCTATGTTTTCCCAACTTGTTTCTGGTAAACCGTTTTTAAAACTCATAGCAGGGCACAAGACAATGTAATTTTCAGATGAAATGTAAATGTTATCAGTCCATCGGTCTCCACCATTTAGATGTTGCACCATTGTTAGCGTAGAAAACACATAATCACGGAATGATTATATGGGTGCTTTTATTTAAGAGCTCTGGGAGTCGGGGTACAGTCCCAAATCTGACTCCGACATGCATCTGAGATGGATACATTTTATACTCTTCTCCTACATAATCATAGTATAATCATATGTTAATCATTACTTTGCCATTGTTCTATTGATTTCATCCAAGCATGATTCGAGTTCTCTTTCATCATTGTTATGCTTCACTCAAGCATGAGTTTCAGTCCCCCTTCCATCATTGTTGTATTTCACCTGAGCATGAGTTCGAACCCCCCTTTCCATAATGGTTGCATAATTATCTGTTATTTCGGGGGTATGTACAGATAGGTACCCAGGTGTACGTGCACAGGTACACATCGACCTGCTAAGATAATGATCACTTGTCATTAAGGCCTATTCTAGCTACCTTGCCACTAAGGCCTACTTTAGCTACCTTGCCACTAAGGCCTACTTTAGCTACCTTGCCACTAAGGCCTACTTTAGCTACCTTGCCACTAAGGCCTACTTTAACTTCCATGATTTTAGAAACATTTGATCCCATGTTATCACCACTCCATGTCTCCACACAAGCAAATGTGAGTGTAATCCAGGTTCTCACTTCAGGGGCTACAATGGGCTGTTTTCTCTGGAGTGTTTTGTGCTCTCACAATGGCATTCCTCAGTCCCCAGACTTTTCGGAAGTCTTAACTTGAGCTGGATGGACATTGTTTAATATCTCTGAAGTGCTAGTCTGTTTGAAGAGAAGATAAAATATGCATTCCAAAATCATGTAGTAGCTCAGTATAGTGAACTACAGGAAACATACCAAAAAGTGCAAAATTCATATAATCAATTTTCTAGTAACCAAAAGATTCTGAATGTGTGAAGTAACATTCTTTATGTTAGACAATCTCTTACCTACCTGCACAGTCAAGTATTGCAATCTTTTGTATATGGTTTACCCATCAGAACAAGAAGCTACTAAAGCAGGATGCACAAGTAAGAATTAAAACAAATATCCTTGCAACAATTGAAATGAATTGACAGAATTTATTGTTATATTTCATATTTGCAATAATGACATAGATAGTAAGATTGAGTGCATCCTTGGCAAGTTTGCTGATGACACCGAGCTGAGTGGTGCTGTTGATTCACTCATGTTGTGGTTTAACCTCAGCCAGCAGCCAGGCACCTGAGGGAAGGGATGCCACCCAGAAGAACCTTGACAGACTTGAAAAATGGGCCCATCTGAAGTTCATGAAGTTCTAAAAAGCCAATTGCAAGGTCCTGGACCTGGGTCCAGGCAACACCCAGTATCAATAAAGGCTGTGGGATGAAGAGATTGAGAGCAGCCCTGCTGAGAAAAACTTGAGGGTGTTGGTGGATGAAAATCTAGACATGGAGTATCAATGTGCACTTGCTGTCCAAAAAGCTAACGGTATCCTCAGTTACTTAAAAAAGCACCATGGCCAGTAGGTCAAGGACCTGCTAGAATGGGACCAGAGGAGGGTCATGGAAATAATCAGTGGGCTGGAGAACCTCTCCTGTGAAGTCAGGCTGAGAGAGCTGGGTTTGTTCAGCCTGGAGAAAAGAAAGCTTTAGCAAGATTTTATGGTGGTCTTTCAATACTTAAAAGAAGATCTATAGTAAGAATGGAGACAGGTTTTTATTTTAACATTATTTTCCAAGGACCTGTAGTAGCAGGACAAGGCATAACAATTTTAAACTGAAACAGGTTAAATTTAGGTGTTGCACTCCATAAAGTGTTCAAGTTTATGTTGTATGGGGCTTTGAGCAACCTGATCCAGTAAAAGAAGTCCCTGCAAAGAGCAGGAAAATTGACTAAATGATTTTTAATCATGATTCCATGATTGTTAGATTGCTAAAGGAAAAAATGGTGTATTGAAGAGATGTGGCTGAGGAAAACAAACATGCACTTGTTATATGTTCCCTAATAAATTCACTGATTGAAGCAAGGAAAAAAATTATAGAAAAGGTATATAGGACTAACATTATGTTAAATGTATGGGAGACATTATCTAGATGATAGTTCATCTGAATTTATTATGTGCTTCTAGGGTTTATCTCTTGATCGTAAGATAATCTCGTGTTTAGACTGTAGTAGTTTGCTATTTATGGATCCTAGTTAAACTGTAATTTAGCTATTTGAACCTTCTCATCTTTCTCTCTTCTTTTCCTTCTGTTTGAATAAGTCTATTAACTGATGGACTATTTCTGTGGCACATATAACACATTCTACAGAGCAGTATATGAATAAGTGAAATTTCAAGCAGGAAATCACAGCTCACAAATCATAGGTACTCTGCTGCTGAGAAAAGACTTAATTCAAAAGTTGTATTCTTTTTTCCTCACTGAAAGAAGTATCTCTGTTCTGAAGAACAGTCAAGAACATGATTGACTTAAAGCTCTTGTTAAGGATAATAATGTGGTTACATACACCCTGTATAAAATTTATTTAATTATATACACCTGAGTGCTTTCCAGAATCAGAGCTTCTGGTTTATTGCTTTGTGACGCTTTACACCTACACAGCCAGAGGTAATGTACATTTGTGTTAGAGGCTAAATTCTCAGAATATTTCCCGTACATGTCCAATAAAAGAGACAGTAGATAGAAAAATTGTCTTGTGACATTGACATGATGGTTACCAAAGCTTTTATCATCTACAAGATTTTGCTATTTTGCTGTGTTGCATTATAATGACTACTTTTTATTTTAAAATATGAAGAAATCCTTTGTAACAGTGCAGTAAAACTATCTATTATGTGTAAAATACTGTATCAGCCATCACAATGATGTCTTAATGATAACCTCCTTAGACTGGGAATATACTTTTCATAGTCATTACATTAAATGGATGTATTACAGATAATTAGGAGCATTACACCGTAAGCCTTATTCGCTGAAGTATTTTCTTTTTTCCTTTATCAAATGTGAAGCAATGTTCTGTCTTCATAAAGGACACTTGTGCTTATTTATTTTTTCCATTTCACTATCACTTGGAGATTTTATGTGGGCTGTGATTACTCTACTGGTCTCTACTCCTTTCAAGTATGTAATATTTAGGTAGTATAACAAATAATGGATGTTTATACTTAATTTTGGCTTTTTATCTTATTTCCAGGTGCTGGGTTAAATAATGGCCAGTGGCATTCTGTATCTGTCTCTGTCAAAAGGAATCGTATCAGTGTAGTAGTGGACAATGAAGTGACCTCGTCTGCTCATGCCTCTATACCTCTGCAGATTTATTCAGGAGATGTTTTCTACTTTGGAGGTGAAATATGTTGTTTATCTATGTTGGTAATATCCAATAGTTGAACATCAGGGGGGTTTTGACATATCTAATCAAATTATTTGAATTGTTTGGCTTGCCTCTTTTGCCTACCTTGGTTTTCTCTCATATGATCTGTTTGTCTTACAGTGTTATGCTTTGAATTTTTGTTTTCTTAGAATTTTATCATATTGGTTATGATAAATCACCACCCTAAATCCTTAGTTACTTTTTAGGTCATCATAGGCTATATCATTTTCTGATAATTGAATATAGTCTGACTGGCAATTGAACAGACACACAAAGGTCTCTTTTTGCCAACTTATTGTTTTGATGAATTAATTTTTTTGAGAATCTTCCACCGGAATGGCTTCAAGTTCTCATCTTAATTACTTACTTACCTGGGCAAATATCCTCTTCATATATGATACACACTTTATCTTCTTCCTTTTCTTTTTTTTTTAACCACAGTGACGCGCCTTTACTGTGTTTGAAGAATGTAATTTGTGCCTAAAAATTACAGTTAGGTATCTTCATTTCCATAGGGATATCACCAATCATCTGTCACCAAGTGTTTTTATCATTAATCACATGTATTTTTACTGATGGATTTGAGCAAGTTGTTATATATAGTTCAGTTGGGAGTGGACTACATAATCAAAAAGATAAATAGCATCTGAGTGCCTTATTCAACACTAGCCTAATGCTTCATCTCTTAGTAGTTTAAACAGTAATGGCTGAAATAATTATTAACAATTCTCTGAGAAAACTGAGGAATGTACACAAAACCCTAAGTGAGTATGGACTGTCATTGCCCACAGATCACTTCCCTGGAAACAGCATGTTTTAAATATGCTCACAAGCAGACTGTAAGTACAGGAACTACTACATAAACATGCATGTGACTTTTCACATCTAACATCTACCCTTCTCTACTAAAGATACCCCTTGACTTGGCTGATAATTAGAGAAAGATGCAGAATATTAGCCTTGAATATCCCCTTCTGTGTACACTTAGTTTCCCAGATATCTCATTAAGTGATTTTCACAATTGCAGGGTTGATGATACAGGTGAACAGATCAGGGAGGATGTGGGCAGTTTCAAAAAGCATCTTATGAAATTAAGTTATACAGGGACATTTTTATTTATCTTTTTCAGGGTAAAGGGAGAAAATTAATTCCAGGAACACTGGAAGTACTACCTTCATATCCACCCCTCATATTCTCTGATTTCAGGCTTATAGTTGAAATCTGCAGCTTGTGCATGACATACAAAGTTAGGGAATACCAGCAGTGGGTTTCTGAGTTTAGAAATATGTTTATTAAAATATAATGTTATGTACCACTGTCAAAATGCAGACAACACATTTTGACTTTCTTTCTAACTTTATATGAATATTTACTGTGTGTCTATATGCTGGTTGTTAAAATATGAGTATCAGCCTTCCAGGAGAGATGTCCTGGGGACATGGCTATTAGTTTACTTGTTTTAATGAATACAAAGTATGCAAGAAGTGTATGCTTAACCAGGAAAATGTGTAATAAACATGAAAATACTGTAATGTTATGTCAGCACAATTTCTAGTCTTGCTGTCATAAAGGATATACTACTTCTCTCTGTTCTTGGAATAATAGCTCATTGCAACTGTAAAGGATAATGAGATTACTTAATATTGCAATAAGCACATAGTATAGATTTCACGATTAAAGGATTTCTTCTTATCTTTAATATCTAGCCTACAACTGTAAAGGAACACAATTTCATTAATATTAATGGGGTTGTCTTTTCTCTAACAAAGCTAGAAGACAATTTTTAACAGAGAGACACCAAGAAAATATCTGAGACACAATTTTGTAAAATACATAAGGTTAAAAGATACTTTTCTGGTTTCTCTGACCTTTTTTATTCATCGTTTTTATATATGAACTCAACTGGAAGTATCTCATTCTCAAATGAGTACCATCTCTTTCACCAGAAATGACAGAATTTATTTAGCATTCAATTAACATTCAATTATAGAATGCTGTAAAGTACATGGTTAGACCTGTAATTGATTTGTCTAACTGTGTGTTGTGCTGAAAACCTACTGTCCTCCTGTTTGGAATTTTGCAAGCAGTGTAGTAAGTAGATAATAAACATTTTCCTTTAGAAAAATAGTAACAATTTTGAACAGTTTGATTCCTCAATGGAGTGAAACACACTGAGAATTTATTAAATTGTTAAATTTCAGTTTTATTTTGTTTTCTCATTTATATTTCTCCAAAACTATTCTATGCTATTCATATGTTGTGCACTCATTTGAATATATTTACTAGTTTCCACTGTCAATTTTCTTTCCTGTATCCTAAACCTCTGCACTGTATTTATATGACTTCAAAAGTACCCATTAACTCTATGGAATAGAAAAGTGTCTTAGAACTTACAACTTCCTAACATCATGAAACAAGAAGGCCTTCAAATGCTCTGAACCATAATGCAGTATTGTTTGACTGAGATCAAAGGATGGCCCTTGTGCACCATTCCAGAAGCAATATTACCCCTTGGAAGAAAGCCAGAATGTGCTATTTAGGCATTTGTAATGCAGTGTTTACTTGTCACTGGGAAGAATTGTTGAATGCACATGGATTAGATCAAATTGAGATCAAAGCAATTTATTGATTTCTTAACAATGTTGAATTAATTGTCAATCAGTGAACAAGGCATTTCAGCTCCAGTGAGGCAATAGATAAGCCACAATATTAGATATATGCAGAATGTTATTCATAAATTGAGTTGAACATCCGGATGCTGTCTAGTCTAACCCTCTGCTCTGCACAAGTCTGTTAGATCAAGATATACAGAGCTGTGTGATCACTCAAGCCTTGAACACCTGGAAAGGAAGAATGGCAATCTTATAACTCTGCTGAGCAAACTGTTCGCATGTTGACCACACACACAGTAAAAACAGTTGTTGCTAATGTCTGATCTGAATTTGCCATTTTTTTTAGTTTTGTTCTTTGCCTCTTGTCATATCACCATGCACTTCTGGAAGAAGTCTTGGTCCATCTTGTCTGTTTCATCTTATCAGATAGATTTATCTTCTCCTCTTAAGACTGAACAGGCCTAGATCTCTCAGTCTCTCCTCATAACTGCATTCAGTTTCCCAGCCATCTTGGAGGCTTCTGCTGGCGTCACTCTAGGATGGTGATGTCTTTCTTGTACTGACAAGCCCAGAACCGCTGCACTCCAGATATGGTCTCACAGGTGCCACATAGAGAGAAGGACTACCCTAGATTTGCTGGCTGTGTTTTTCATAATATATCCCAGAATGCCATTAGCCTTCTGTGCTGCAAGGGCACAGTCCTGACTTATGGTCCACTTGATGCTCACCAGGACCCCTGGCCTCATTTTGGGCAGTTAGTCTCCAGCTTGGATTGTTGCATAGATTTATTCAATCTGATTTAAAACCTTGGTCTTGTTCTTACTGAACTTCATGGCTTTCCTTTCAGCTTATTTTTCCAGCATTCCCAGGTGCCTCTGAGTTGTAGCCCTGCTCTCCAGCATTTGATCCCTGCCCCCAAATCAGTCACAGGCTTGCTGAAAGTGCACTCTGTCTCATCATCCAGATCATTAATGAAGACATTTAATAGCATAGATGTCACTACTGAACTCTGAAGGACCTTCTGTTCACTGACCATCAGCTGGACTTTGCATCATCAATTGTCTGGTTATTCCACCCATATATCATGAATCTGGTGATAGGGAGAGTACAGAAAATTGTTCGACTCTTTGCTAAAATCAGGATATGCAATGTTCACAGCTCTCCCTTTGTCCATACTTCACTTCAGCAATGAAAACAAAGAATTTGGTCAGGCATGATTTAGCCTTGAAGCTAGTTAGCCAGTTCTTGTCCTTTACATATTTAGAAGTGGCTGCTAAGAGGCTTTGCTTTGTGAATTTACCAGATTAAGTGCCCTCTAGTTTATTGAAGATGGGTGTGACATCTGCCTTTTCAAATCATCAAGAAATTCAGCAATTTGTCAAACCCTTTGAGGATGAAACTGTTGACAAATTCACAGTGACAACACAATTGTTGAAATGGCATTGACCAGCTCTTGCCGAACCCTCCAATGCACCTTGGGCTCTTTCTTCCTTTATTGTGGGTACTATGTTCCTTTTTCATACCTGCTGGGACATGAAAAGCCTAAGGATAAGTTTTTCTAGTGAAGACTGAGGAAAAAAGGCCTTACAGAAAACAGTTCCTCCCAACACGCTTGTCTCTAGGTCCCCTGCTGCTTGGAGCAGTGCGTCCTTAATATCCTTAGCCTTCTTTCTGCTGCTGTTTTACCTACAGAAAATTTTTTGCTGCACTTTGCTTTCCTTGACAAATTTTAACTCCACTTAGTTTCCTAAGTGCATTCATAGACATGCAGGTAACATCTTTGTATTTTCTCCAAGTTGCATGTGCCTGCTACTAAATTTTGTGCACTTTCTCTTTGTGTTTGCACTTACTCAGGAGTTCTGTGTTTATATTTGCAGGCCTTATGCCACATTTACTTAACTATTTTGATACTGCAATGGACTTTTCTTATGCTCTAAAGACCTTTTTGTTGAAAACTACTCAGCCCTTTTGGTCTTCAAGACTATTTCTAATGGGATCGTCAAAACAGGTTCTGAACTGAACAACGTTGAAGTCCAGGGTTGCAATTCTGTTTTGGTTTTGTTTCTTGCTCACTTCTCTATGGTTTATAAACTCCACAGCCACATGTTTACTGCAACGAGGACTGTTTTGACCTTCACATTTTCAACTGTTTCTTCCTTGTCCAGGAATAGCAAGCCCAATGGAACATCTCTCCTAGTTGAGTCATTGATAATCTGCATCAAGAAATTGTCTTCAGTACTTTTCAGAATCTTCTTGACAGTTTGTAAAATAAAATCACTGTACTTAGTAACTAATTTTTGTCTTATTTGAATTAAATTATGACTTAAAACTTGTTCAAATCATGTGACTTTTTATTGTAATATAACCCTTTGTGACTAAGGTCTGCCAGTCAAGCTGTTCACACCTTGCTTCCATTCATTGCTTTGGAACTGATGCTTAGGTTAACCATTTTTTATTGTGTGATGTTTTTGCATATGCTTTAAAAGCAGTTATACTGCAGAGAAATAGTTCTTTATAGTCATGCCTAATCAGAAGAGCTCCTGGCTAAGGTCTTACAGCCTTAAATTTTAAAACACATGGAGATTATCAAAGTTCAGTCTACTTTTGGAAAAGTATATAATTTTTTCAATGAAATGTTTCTTTTCAGCTCCAGTTTTTATTCTTCTTTCAGGCTGCCCTAGCAGTGGAAACATTTCTGAATGTAATACCTCATTTGGTGGTTTTCAAGGATGCATGCGACTAATTTCCATTGGCAATAAAGCAGTGGATATGATCTCAGTTCAGCAAAATGGTTTTGGCAATTTCAGTGATCTTCAGATAGATTTATGTGGCATTAGAGACAGGTAAGAAAATTATAGTTATTTGTTTATTTATTTCAATGTTTTATTTCTGATATGGACTTGATGGCAAAGAATGGAACACTTTATAATATGTCATGCTATTTCCTTTGTAAGAAGTGAAAAGTCAAGAATAATTGCAGTATACATGACATAGCAAGTAGGATTTCATATACTGAAAATTAATTCTGCTTAAAATTATTTTATGGTTCTGAAAAATTTTAAATATCTTTCTTTTCAAGTAAAATTATAGATGCAATTCTCCCCCTGTGACATGTAGTCCCAGCGACCCTTTGAAATGCTATGTTTATCACAAGCTATTGCTGTTTCCTGTATTCTACCCACCCAGAAACACAATAGATAGTATTTGTCACTGTGAGTGAGCAATTTCTTTTTTTACACTATGGTCAGAATTAATCTCATAACTTGCAATCAGCATCTGTCTAAAAAAGAGACTACTCGAAGTGGCTCCCTCCACAAGGAGGAAACGCTATATACCTTCCCAAAAATGGAAAATGCCTGACAGAAAGACATTGCTGGAGTTCAGCATGGAGAAAGCAGAGGAGGTGTTGCAGAACAACAGAGGCTGCTGAGAAGAGAGGAAGCAGACACATAAATGGGCCATGAAAGAAGTTTTCTTCTGTAGACCTCAGAGAATGCACTCACAGGCATCTGTGCAAGGTCCTCTTTAATCCACTTTTTTTGGACCCAGGTGAAAGGCTGCATGGAAACAACACAACAGGCAGGGGAATGATGTGCTTGTAAATACTTCTCCCTCCCTATGTTTCTAGTCCTCATAAATTTTCTTTTGATAGAGGGAAGTCTGGCCTTTGAATTATAAGACTTTCTAAAATTGCTTTCCTTGGGAGAAAGTGTAGGCAGCTATCTGCTTCGAGACTATAGCCAATTTCAGGTTCAGTCACACAGACCTATTTCTGTGACCTGCTTTTTATTCATAGAGATAACACAGTGTACATTTATCCAGGTTATTATTTTGGAGACATCACAACTCCTTGTAGATCTGAGTCCAAAAAAATAATTCTTTACCTAACAGGCCATAAAAGTTTAAGAGGAGAAACCTCCAAAAGGAGGATAAAAGATCTGTGTACAATGTGAACCTTTCAATTATGTTGTAATACGTATTCTCATTAATATTTCTACAGCCTATCATACTTTAAAAACATATGCAGTTACGTGTATATATAATTCTTCCCCTAATTTATCCCTTGCTCAGCTAATCCTGACTTTGCAGTAGGCACTAAATGTGGTAGACATATCACATAGAGTCAAGCCTCAGTCAAATCTTTGCTGTATGAATAGCTAGGGACGTGTATTTGGGATGCAGCATACATTTACGTTGCTTTCTTTCATCCCACTTCTTTCAGCTCATTTTCTTACTTTTCAGACTTCTTTTGCTCTTGTTCCATTCTGCATTGATGGACTTTCAGACAATTCCTTCCAGCTTTGAAAGCACTGTATCACTGCTAGTTTTTGAGCTCTGGAATTGAACTTACTCCACTTACATTACACTGCTTGCTTTCTTGCTTGTGAAGAGAGAGAATTGAAAAGAGAGTCGGGTCAAAAGAATGTAGTGTAAGGATCTGAGTATTCTTTGGTCACACACATTAACGATGATCTAAGGAGGTTTATGAGTGGAAAACCACCAAATTGGCTCACAATATGATTGATACAAATTTCTGTCTGGTTTACCATAGACTTTTTCAATGTTCAGTGTAACCGTGGACCTCTCAAAATGCTCAGCTCAAATCTGCAATTTAGGAACCATCTCTACCTCCATGAACACAGAGATATTTTATCTAAGTTTTTTAAGGAAGATGGTACCTTTCTATATGTAGTGATTCCAGTTCCTTTCTTCTTTAAATGACCATAGTATGTAAGTTTGTACATGTGGCTTTTACAAAGATCTTTGTAATGTATCCATATGTGTAAAGCCACTGTGAATCTCAGTATATATAAACCCAGCATTATTTACAGCATCTAAGTGTCATAGCATTTATCTCTTATTCAGTGC